GAGTTGCTACTGTTCCACACTTCAGAATGTTATCACAATACTATGCTTTAAATTGTCTAATTTTCATAGCTCTTAATGCAGCTAAGGCAGCAGCCTATAGTTGAGAACTTTTAGCACTTGAATTTTGTAAACATTTTTTTAAATAAGACTAACATTAACCAGAGGGAAGGAAAATAAATACTAGGTCATCACCCTTCAACAGAAAGCTACTGTTCCACACTTCAGAATGTTATCACAATACTATGCTTTAAATTGTCTAATTTTCATAGCTCTTAATGCAGCTAAGGCAGCAGCCTATAGTTGAGAACTTTTAGCACTTGAATTTTGTAAACATTTTTTTAAATAAGACTAACATTAACCAGAGGGAAGGAAAATAAATACTAGGTCATCACCCTTCAACAGAAATCCTCAGGGTCTTTTAGAAAAGGGTGAGTACATAAAAGAAATGCACTTTGCAACACCCCTTAAAGAACAATAGATACAGACTACTTAACTCAAAGATGAGAAGTTTAGTTCCAAAGATGGCATAGGAAGACATGTTTTTATTATTTCTAAGCAATTACTGGTGGCAAATACCAGGCCATCGCTATACACACACCTCTCAGAAGTTGATACTTATCTTGTTTCTAACATGCAGCGAATGCCGTCCAGAGAACATATAGGGCAGCTTGTCCTTTGGGATAGTGGAATAACGCTCACTGGCGAGAACCCAGCATCATTAAGAGGAAAACAGAAACTGTCCCACTTAGCGAATTCAAACAGCACTAAAGGCGTCGGTGCAACCACACAGCGCGGCTGGTTTCGGTCCGAAACGAGCCTACACGCCGGTATTTAGCCCAATAGCCTTACGCAAGGGCTGGCCGCAGGCTGCCAGGGAAGCTCTGCAACTGCTGCCCTGGTCGCTCACGCACTCGGCCGGCGGCCGCGCTCGGCCCCTGGCAGGCGCCCAGAGCAGGGGGCAGGTGCCGGGCGGAGCAAGGCGGCTCCCAGCTGGGTTGGGAGGGCGGGGCAGAGCAAGGGCACGCCGGTATTTAGCCCAATAGCCTTACGCAAGGGCTGGCCGCAGGCTGCCAGGGAAGCTCTGCAACTGCTGCCCTGGTCGCTCACGCACTCGGCCGGCGGCCGCGCTCGGCCCCTGGCAGGCGCCCAGAGCAGGGGGCAGGTGCCGGGCGGAGCAAGGCGGCTCCCAGCTGGGTTGGGAGGGCGGGGCAGAGCAAGGGCACC